CAGCTAATGATAGTCTTGTATTTCCTTTCTTGTAGCTCATGTGACTAAATGTTTTGCGGGAGCAACAGCCTCATCAGTGAAAGCTGCCATGGCCCAAAAGTGCAAAGACAAAAGAAATGCTGATACGAAAAGAAGAAAAATTGCAAAAGACATTTGAACTGCTAAGTTTTTTCCTTATTATAAATTATTTTGTATGGTAGCTAAACATTTGTAGCAATTAACTGTATAAATAAATTATTTAAACTTCCTACAGTATACATACCATTACAGTATCTCACTGTTTGACAGGTTTAACTGTGCATGATTGAAGCTTTGCATAATTTCACATGTGAAACTGGAACATGTGATATTTCACATGTGTATTTGGAAGATGTGATATCTCACATGTGAAGTTTTACATGTCAACACATGTGAAATTATGTGTTTTACATGTGAAGTTTCACATGTGAAATTTCACATGTGAATTTGGAACATGTGAATTTGGAACATGTGACTTTTCACATGTGAACACATGTGAAATTATGTGTTTCACATGTGAAGTTTCACATGTGAAATTTCACATGTGAATTTGGAACGTGTGATTTTTCACATGTGAACACATGTGAAATTATGTGTTTCACATGTGAAACTTCACATGTGAAATTTCACATGTGAATTTGGAACATGTGAATTTGGAACATGTGACTTTTCACATGTGAATACATGTGAAATTATGTGTTTCACATGTGAAGTTTCACATGTTAAATTTCACAAGTGAATTTGGAACATGTGAATTTGGAACATGTGATTTTTCACATGTGAACACATGTGAATTTGGAACATGTGAAACATAATTTCACATGTCAAATTTCACATGTGAAAAATCACATGTTCAAAATTCACATGTGAAATTTCACACATGTGAAATCATGTGGAATTTTTGTAAGGGAATGATTTTTAATGCGCGCCGTTTAATTCTTTTAATGTCACCGCTTAGATAATGCAGTAGACTGTGGTGAATCACTGAGAAGGCATATTTGAGGATTGGGAGTACAGACATACAGTCCTAAAGGGTCATTTCCTTTGCCGATACTCTTACTCGCCTAAGTTGCTGCAAAATGTACAGGCCTTTTGATGTTATCTTTACTATTGAATACCGTGACGAGGTCAACTTTACTATTGAATATACATGATCAATATATGGTCCGCTGCAATAATCCATTGAAATCGTAAAATTGGCTCTACTAGTCCATTTTTAATAAGCTAATCTTAATATTAAAATTTATTTCTTAAATATTTTAGTGCCCACTAATAATTAGTTGTTTGAACAACTTAATAAAATTACCTTTCTAAAACCTGTATTTTATTATAGAAAAATCAATGTTGGCTCTTACCTAATAAACTGAGTCGTAGTTTTCTTTAATATTCTTTAAACAATGTGACTGAACTGCTGATGCAAACCAGTTTTGAGATAGCGCACGACCCCAATATGTCAACTTTTCTACTGCGGTCTATACGCCGAATGCATGCAGTGATGGCATGTGAAGTGCATGTGACAATATTGAACAACATTATAGCTATGCTTCTATGCATGATTGGTTAAGTGTTTGTGGCACTGCCAACAAATGACTGTAGGACCGCAGAATAAAATGTATCTTAATTAATATTGAAAGCTTCTTTCTACTCTGCCATTACGTGCCATGGTAAATTTCTCGTATGCATGCATGGTTGAGAGCATAGAAATTATAAAAGACTCTAGAAAAGGCATTGTAATTTTAATTCAGTAAAAAAAGAACGCGGGTATGGGGGCTAACTTCAAATCCCCGATGTATATCCATGTTCCCATTGATGAAGAGTTTCAAATCAGCCAATGAAAGCACAATTTTATATCCGGGACTTGACTAATGGTAGTGCTTGAGAAGCCATGTCGGATGTTGAAATACTATATATTATTACATTAATTAACTAATACACGACCACAGGAAAATATTGTAATACTAAACCGTGTGCCACACTTTTGTTCACAGCAAATTATTAGTTGGCATAAAAAATTCACTCTACGAAATAAATTTTAATTAAAGCTAAAATAGGCCTAATATATATATATATATATATGTATATATATATATATATATATATATATATATATATATATATATATATATATATATATATATATATATATATATATATATATATATATATATATATATATATAAATAGATTATTGCACAGTATTTTCCGTTTATTGTTATAAAGCTTATAGGGTTTAAAAACTTGATTTGGCTATAGCCTTATGATAAACAAGTCCGCATGCATGGATGATCTTGAGTGCGCCTAGCGCGCCCTGTCTAATTTTTTTTAAATCATCGCTTCGATAAATTGGCAGAATGTTGTGAAACACTGGAGATGCATATTCGCGAGGATTGGACATACACACGTATATACACTAAAAACAGACCATTTTCTTTGCCGATACTCTTGCGCGCTTAATTCGCCCCAAAACGTACAGGCCCTCTGAAGTTTTTTTATACTATTGAATACATGCACGTAATTATCTTTACTATTGAATACACATAATCACAAGTCCTGCGCAATAGTTTATTGAAATCATAAATTTTAAATTGGTCCTAGTAGTCTATTTATAATTATCTTAATATCAAAAATTTATCTCTTACATACATTTTTTGGTGCTTGTTAACAATTATAGTTGCGTAGAAGTCAGGAACAGATGTATTGCATTGTTTTTTTGGACAACTTGTTTTCAGCTTAACTTTTTACATGCACTGATGAAGCCTGCTTTGGCGAAACGTTTGTAATAAAACATTATTATTGATCTGTCTGGAGTTCGCCTTTCCTTCTGTATACCTATCTGTAATACTTTAAGCGTCGTGTATCCTTTGGATCCTTCAGACATGTGACATCAGCGTTGGCAAGCTAGACCATATCCTTACCATATATATATATATATATATATATATATATATATATATATATATATATATATATATATATATATATATATATATATATATATATATATATATATATATATTGTTCTCGCGCTTGTCAAGGTTAATCGGATAAAACAAAACGGTGAAAAAAGTGTGGGTCGTGGAACGCGGGGAAATTCCTTACCCATTTAATTCAAACCGCGCTTTACCCACTGCATATATTATAGATCACGGAAGCAAAATGTTGTGTTTAAAGATCGTGCTAATCATGCCAACAACAGCTCTTGTTTGAAATCGAGTTCCACATTTCAAGCAGAATTTGTGTTAGAAACATTTCTTGATTTTCTAATATCGCTTTCTGGCAGAGCCAGTAACGCTTAACCATGCAATCATGCCTAGCAATATTGTTCAGTCTCGTCACATGTACTTCACATGCCATCACTGCATTTGGCGTTCAGACTGGAGCAGAAAGGTTGAGATATTAGGCTCGTGCGCAATCACAGGACTGGTTTGCATCAGAAGTTCAATCACATTGCTTGAAGGATATTAAAGAAAAATTTGTCAGTTTTTATTAGGTAAGAACCAAGTTTAGTTTTTTATAACAAAATACCGGTTTTAGTGAGATAATTTTATTAAGTTGGTGCAAAAAAACAACGGAATATCTCGATCTGTTCCTGACTGCTACACAACTAATTATTAGTAGGCACCGAAAAATTTTCCTAACAGATAAATTTTGATATTAAAATTATTAGAAATGGACTAGTAGGACAATTTTATGATTTTAATGGACTATTGCAGCGGATCATCGATCACGTGTATTCAATAGTAAAGATGATCTCGTGCATTCAATAGCATAAAAAAATATCAAAGCGCCTATATATAGTTTTTGCGGCAACTTTAGTCCTTTTCAAAATATACTTCCCCAGTGTTTCACCACGGTTTGCCACCTTGTTTAAGCGATGATATTAAAAGTATTAAACGATCAAGATCATTCACGGAGACTTGCCTATAATAGAACCCTAGATAAATCAGTTTTCTAGAACCTTCACGATAGGCGGAAAACACTGTGCGATAAAGTATTTAGCAGAATTGTGAGAAACCCAGACCATAAACTTCACACATTACCACTAACCTACAGGGGCCGGATAGCGCTATCCACTGGATAGTGACTTTTTTAAGCATTGTTAAATCAGTCGTTGATTGGTATAACTCGTATTAAAGTTTAGTATTTATAAGTTGAATGTTTTTTATACTTCTTGTGTCGTCTATATCCGTAGTTTCAAAGTTTTTCAAGCATTTTACAACGGTTGAAAAAATCACTATCCGGTGGATAGCGCTATCCGGCCTTCGTACAACCGGTCCCAGTATGATAAGCGAATGCAAATATAACTTACAGAACAAGCGAGTATTTTGTTTACTACGATGCAAAACAAACCGCTTTATAAAAATTCTTTTACAGTCGGAAGCGCAGGCGCCGATATTATTTTCAAACCTTAACTCAACAATTTTAACATTCCTGAATTAACATTCCTATAGCCGTCATTTCTAGTTTAATTTTATTATTAGCTTTGTGGTCCCTGAAGCAACGGCGCGTATAGCGCTTTACGAAGATACTAATTCCGCCCGGCTATTACCCTGGATTTCAGAGCCTTCGGTAAATAATAAATTGAATCATCGCGAAGGCTCTGGTTCAACGGGAGGATTCTTTGATTAACATGGCCAGAAATGGAGTCCAACATGGCTGCCAAGCATGCGCGTTTTGACTCAAAATTTATATTTTTGATAACTTACGGTTGAGAAATCCAAAATGTGCATATCTAAAACTTCACCGATTCTGTCCAACTTTTATCCGTAAAAAAATAGGTATACCACTCGAGTTGTCTAAGTATGTTCCCGAGCAATCAATATCTCTGCCTAGTCTCTGCATAAGAAAGTATGTGATTTTGACATATTCGGTATTTTGCAGGTCCAATTTCAACTCGTTCTTTTCAGATATCGTCAAATGTGCATATCTGAATTGCTTCGTACAGTATTCCTCTTTATTATT